AAAGGACAAGTTTTGAGTGATAGATTTCTGCTTTAAAACTAAGGGCAGAGACCAGTGGCCTTGGGCACATCATCAAACCAGCTCAGCATTCCAGACTCTACACTCAACTGCGGAAAATTCAATGGATCCTGGCCCTGTGACCTCTCATTGTTTTCCTTAGATAAAAGCACTTGACATTTCAATGCCTTGACTCACGCTCTCTGTAAAATAAAAGGAAGTGAGCACGATGCTCTTCCAGGTTTCTTAAATGTTAATACATTTTATAAATGAATAGCTCTCTGAACTTTCAGTGTGCCACTGTTGCTAGAGTTTTCCTGCCTGGCCCACAGTCAGGACAAATCTCTCTCACCCGCCAGTCCCAAGCCGCTCAAACCCGATCAAGTAAACACAGACACTTATATTGGTTACAAACTGTATGGCCGTGGCAGGCTTCTTGCTAACTGTTCTTACAGCTTAAATTAATCCATTTCTATTAATCTATACCTTGCCACGTGGCTTGTGGCTTACCGGTACTTTACATCTTCCTTATCCTGATGGCGGCTGGCCGTGTCTCTCCGACTCAGCCTTCCACTTCCCAGCTCTATTCTCCTCCTTGTCCCGCCTATACTTCCTGTCTGGCCACTGCCAATCAGTGATTTATTCATTGACCAATCAGCAACACATTTGACATACAGACCATCCCACATCACTTCCCCTTTTCTTTTCTTAAAAAGGAAGGTTTTAACCTTTACACATCTCCAAAGTCAGCTTGGTATATTTGGGAATTTGGGCGTAGCTTCTCTTACTACTTCCTGCTGGAGGGGGGCGCTGTATCTTCTGGGGAAACAAAGAAAATTTTAGAATCATGGAGTAGTCCGTGAGGCTGTATCATCTGAGCCAGTTGTCTTGAAACGGTTCTGGATGTTGGATCATCTGGACCATGGTGTCATCGGAGACCTTTCAGGGGGTCTTGGCTGGTCAAACCTGATGTATCTTACTCTGGAACAAATCCATAGCCTCTTGCTTTCTGTGGAAACAAAAGAGACTCTTTTCCAAAGCAACATATCCTTACATCCAAATTTTGAAGTCAAAGTATCTTTAAAATATACATACTGGTTTAACTCAGTTTCCTTTACAATCAAATATCTCTCTGTAGTTAAGAATCCCAAAGACAACACAATCCAGACTCTCTGTGTAATAGTCATCTCTACGTGGCTTATTTTTTATATTAATTTTACTGTCTCTTTAAAGACTTTATTTTTTAAAACCATGTATTTGTTTCTATACTGTATATATCACCTTTTTTTTTGTCTCTTTCAAGCCTACGTATATTTTACACACATTTTAAACTATTACATCTGAATCTGTCTTATTGTGAGTCTATTGCTTTAAGCTGCATCAGCTGTGGCTGCTGGCTCCGCCCACCTCAGTTTCCCAACATGGCGGCGGTACTGTAGTTTTCCGCCAGCTCTATCGTGGGTCTATGCTTTTATCCAAGCAGCGTGTAGCCCAGAAACCTCCTTTTTTGTTTTGTACTAGCAAAGGCTAAATCCACAATGTAGCTTAATGTGCCACTTGCAGAGGCCTCATTCCCGCCATACTGCAGGTCGAGCGCGCACGCCAGCAACCCGCCAGTAGCTCAAACCCGCAGCTGCCGCTCATTTGAGAGAGACAATTAGGAAGCTGTTTTTAGCTCCGTTTTAGAATCTTTTTTCTCAGGTTTTAGGTGGAAACTCTTGCCACCACGTTGGACGCCATTTGTAGCTGGAGTTTTCCTGCCTGGCCCACAGTCTGGACAAATCTCTCTCACCCGCCAGTCCCAAGCCGCTCAAACCCGATCAAGTAAACACAGACACTTATATTGGTTTCAAACTGTATGGCCGTGGCAGGCTTCTTGCTAACTGTTCTTACAGCTTAAATTAATCCATTTCTATTAATCTATACCTTGCCACGTGGCTTGTGGCTTACCGGTACTTTACATCTTCCTTATCCTGATGGCGGCTGGCCGTGTCTCTCCGACTCAGCCTTCCACTTCCCAGCTCTATTCTCCTCCTTGTCCCGCCTATACTTCCTGTCTGGCCACTGCCAATCAGTGATTTATTCATTGACCAATCAGCAACACATTTGACATACAGACCATCCCACATCATGCCACACATTCTATAAGCTTAAAAGGACACAAAAGATTTTCTCCACTCATTGAGAATCATTTTGCAAAGGCTCATGCAGGCAAAGACTTTGAAACAGGCTTCATGATGCCTTAAGTGCATGAACTGGCTAACAGGCTTGTGTATTTTAATAGTTATAACAAACTAGCACACATGCCACACATTGTTTTAGGCTGTGTGTGTGTGTGTGTGTGTGTGTGTGTGTGTCCCCGCATGCATGTGCACATACACAAGCATGCACAGCCTTCTTTACGGGAGTCAGGTGTGAGGGTGTGAAGGCCCTGGGCTTAGTAACAATCCAGAACTACGGTGCATGTCAGCTGCAAGTTGTACAGAACAGTGTGTTACTATGAAAACCTGTGTGTATCCAACAAATACAGTGAGTGATATTAAAAAAATATAGCCAAACTATAAACACATTTTCACACATTCACAAATTATTCTCTTCTGCAATCTGGACTGCTTTGCCTGTGGTATGCTCACTCACTCCAACATTTATCATCCAGCATTTTGGTGTCTATGAAGTGCTGGGCCTGTGTTAGCCATGAACATCACAGGAGAAAATAGGACAAGACACTGTTCATTAAGGGAAAAGGTGAAAGGTGCTTATAGATGAATATGCAAATTGAGACATTGAAATCCTTCCTCCCCAATTAGAAACCTACTGTTGACAACTTGGGGAAAAGAAATTTGTCTCCTGACACTGGGGATTTCTCTGAGCTGCCTTTTCACATTGGTGCAGTCATTTCTCTCAGCGAGTACAGAAAGGACTGGGCTTGGCTCACTGTCTTGACTCCTATGTTAACTGTTTTAATCTCCTGCCTGGATGAAGATGTAGAAAGGCTTGTTTTGAACTATCATATAAAACACAGAAATCTATCACTGGAAGTTTAGCAAATATATCCAAAAGCATAATTAACATAAAGACCTCTTTCTTTCTAAATCTGATTTTTTTTAGATGGAACAATAATAAATAATGATTTATCTGGAATGCAAAAATAGTTCATCAGATTCCTGAACGGAGAGAGTACAAGTTGAAAAATACTTTCTGTATTTTCCCTTAAAAAACAAATGAAGGGCCACTGTGGATCTGAGATCTGTCACTGGCAGCTAATTGTGCTCTAGTTGTTCTGGGGGTTTGAAGAGATACCTCAGGGGGTAGAGAACCTGATGTGCTAGGGTAAGGACCCAAGTCCTAATCCCTAGAAGTAAAGTGGGCACTGTAGTACATCTGTAATCCCAGATTCCCCAGAACTAGACAGAAAGTGGAGACAGGGGAATCTCCAGGTGAGTTAGCAAGCCTGGAGTATTCAGTGGTGAACAAGATGGAAAGTTAGGACCAACGCCTGAAGCTTTCAGCCACAGGAGACGTTTCTCTCTCTCTCTCTCTCTCTCTCTCTCTCTCTCTCTCTCTCTCTCTCTCTCTCTCTCTCTCTGTGTGTGTGTGTGTGTGTGTGTGTGTGTGTGTGTGTGTATTTCTAAGTTTTCCTATGTAAACTTGATTTTGGGATGAGGGATAGAGGCCAAGAGACATGAAGTGTTCAGGTTCAGTTGGGCGAGGGGCAGAGCCCAATTTGTTTGTAGACCCATGGCATTTATAAGCCTTCAGATGCCTGGTTGCCTCTTACAGCTGCCATGGAGGCAACTGTAATGTTCAGAAGGAGGGTGGAGAGAGCCCTCACTGGTGGACAGGGAAGCTGCGGGTTCCTGCTGGCCTCTCTTGCCTTTGCCTGGGAGAGGCTGAACTGTTTGCTGGTGAGCAAATCTCTTCCACTAAAGGTAGAGCGAGACTCACAGCAATTATTAGATATTAAATTCTGTATATTGTTTTCTTTTTATCAATTTTTCATCCACTTAGTTGTCTAATTTGTCTGAGTTTTCCCCAACATTTTGGGTCAGAGAGTGACATTGTGCCCACCTAATGCTCTCTTCCCCTTTCCTGTGTCTCTTGAGGAGAAACCATTTTCTCTGCTGGCCCCCTTCTCTCCTCAGTTCTCATTTTAACCCCTGGATCTGATAGGGTCTTCACAGGATAGCTATGAATAATGGCTTCTTACAGAACACCGATTCTGTGAGAAATACTTCCTTGCTGACTGGCTGGGTGAGTTTTCTCCCTGATTTAATTTGTGATCTTCTACACTGGCAGCTCTCTTCCCTCTTCTCAGAGGCTCTAATTCTCACACCCAACTCAGACAAGAAACATAGGGACTGGAAGTTATTGTTCAGACTTTGTAGATCTTTACTTTAGAAAATGTCTCTTAGGTAGGAAAATTAGCTCTAAGATCTTTCAAAGAAGCACTTCATACTTGTGATTTCTGGAACGTGGCTTTTGAAGGGGGGCTTGGTGCATTTTTGTTACTGCAAATGGGAGTCAAGATGGAAAGTGTGTAGTTTTTGTGTTCCCAAATTAGAGGGTTGATGTTACATGGAGAAATTTCAAGAGCTTCCTGAAACAATGTGTGACTGTCATTACTTCCCACAGGCGTTAGTTAACACTGTGCAAACATTTCTGGCAAAACTGTTTATATCACCTCCACTGTCACCTGACATCATGGGTTGCAAGATAGATGGTCCCTAGTTCGGGAAGATCTTTAAAGGAGTTGCAGTGACAACTCTCGGGGACATTTTCCAGTATGAACTCCATTGTGACCATTTAAAATCATTTACCATCAACAAGTCAGATGCTGTTTGATTGGCCTTATTTGTTCCTATGAATATTTTATATTCTTCCTTCAAGGAGTCCTGATTTTTGGCTTGTTTTTGATTCATTTTGGGAAGGATAGTTGCATGGACTCCGGGTCTGCATTTTGGGTAGAGCCCTCATGTATGGTTTTGTTTCCTTTTTCTTTGTAGGTAGAAATAACACTTCAAGATATCAACAACAACCCACCGGTGTTTCCAACAGACACTCTGGACCTCACTGTGGAAGAGAACATTGGAGATGGGTCTAAGATTATGCAGCTGACTGCTGTGGATGCTGATGAGGTAGCTCATGTCTTTAGAATCTGTAATAGCAGTGACTTACAGAATCTGAAGTACATGCTGGGAGCTCTAAGGTTATGGATATTGTGTTCTTTCCCAGACAGCATCTATTAGTTTGCTCTAACTGTGATATAAGAATGCAATATGCTCAGTCTGTAAAGTGTATGTTTCACAAACATGAAGACCCAAGTTCAAGCCTCTTCACCTTCATAAAACTGCTGGGTGCAGTGGTACTGGCTTGTAAACCCAGCACTGGAGAAGCAAAGGCAGGAGGGTCTCTAGGGCAGGCTGTCTGGCCCATCTAGACTATTTGGTGGGCCTCAGGTCTCAATGAGAGACTCTGTGGTGGGACTGCAGAGATGGCTCAGCAGTCAAAAGCACTGGCTGCTCTTGTAGAGGACATGGATTCAGTTCCCAAGCCCCACCTTGGGTGGTTTACAGCTGCCTGTAACTCCAGCTCCAGGGAATCTAACATACTCTTTGACCTGAATGGACACTGCACCCATGTGCATGTACACACACACACACACACACACACACACACACACACACACACACACTAGAGAAAGAGAGAGAGAGAGAGAGAACAGGCAGATAGAGAGATGAAGAGACAGAATTAAAAATTTAAAGTTGGGTAACCCCCGAGAAACACCCAAGTTGACCCCTGATCTTCATATGCACTCACACACACCTGCACCCATGTAAGCCCATACCTACCCTCCCAACACAAATAGGAGAAAAGAATGAGAATAGACAAGGTCAGTTAGGAGGATCTTTCTGATCAACAATTGACAACTCAGTTGTTTTTCCTTTGTGTTTTAGATTTCTTGGCCAAGTCATTTTTAAAATAAATAAAGACATTGAAATTGGATTTTTATTCTTACCTTTTCTTCATTTCTATTTGCTTTCAAAGCACCAAGGATCTATTTTTATTTCATTTGTAATTGAAAAAAATAATTTAAAACTAACAATATTTAAGGTGACCTTAAAATCTTTATACTTTTAAATAATTATATATCTTACATATAGTTATGCCTATATAAATTAAAAAATGTGTATTATCTAAGGCTGTCATGCAGAAAAACTAATGAGTTTTTCAATTTATTCTAATAAACAAATTTCGTACCTATTGGCAAATGTTAAATTTAGACACAATATAGATTATCATCCTCTATATTTTATTTTAAGTGTAGACACACAATATCCATGCTACCAATAGCCTGGGAGGTTACAGAGTTAATTTACAGTTCCCCACATAAAAGCTCCTTGCTTGGTTTCTCCTTTCTTGTGAGTGAAAGGTTTAATTATTGCTCTGATATCGAGTGGAAAGCCTTCCCAAACACCAGAACATCCTCCCATCATTTCTTAGCAAAGCCCCACCCAGAACTGTCTTTCCTCCTCAACCCCAGGAATATCTGGACATTTGATTCTTTTAAACTATGATTAAATGGTTTATAGATTTTTTTCTTTAACATTGAATAAGTAGGTAGAACAAGAATGCATTTGGTGGTGGACACTTTTAATCTGGAGGCAGAGACAGGTGAATCTCTGTGAGTTGGAGGTCAGCCTGGTCTACCTGGAGAATGCCAGCATCCAGGATTATGCAGTGAGATCATGTTTCAAAAATATATAAATAAAAAGGTAAATAAATGAACAAATAAATAAATAAATAATAGAGTCAGAAATATCATAGCCTAGTCATGATTAACTTCATAAAATTTAGTAAAAGGAAAGAGAATAAAACATAAATTTTTAGATAACAGTAGTTTTCTTTTAGAAAACATTTGATGATTTTTGTTAGTGTCTACTATTTTATTTTGTATAGAGAAATATTGATATTGATTCCCAGGTCAGTAATCACTGACAGTTGTAAGACTGAACACCTGTACTGATTGATACTATGTAACATCTGACATAGTTTAGCAAATAGTTCACTTTCTTAAAGCTTGTCACTGATACAATATATTTAGCTGTATCCATTTATGAAATTTCATGAACTCCAATTTGAATATAACATCAACATGAATATCATGCGGTTGATGTAAAATAATCAGCACTGAATGGCTGTAATGGCAATTGAGGAGGAGAGAAATGTAACTCATTTGTTTGAAATGTTTTGTTCTAATCACTTCAGAAAAATGAAGCAATAGCTATGCTAATTTTAATAAATATTTTAGTGGTATGGATGTTGACTCTGTGGGATATTATGATTGATATGAGATTGCTCAACCCAAATTATGGTGGATTGCAAATAAATTGTGTATGGAAATTTGATTGTTTTCATCAGTATATGACTCTCCTAAGAACCGTCCCTTGGGGACTATCAGATCCATCATTAACTATTATCTTGAGATGATTATCCTTACACTTCCCTTTCTAGAGCACATGTTATTGACATGAGTGTCATGTTGTATGCATGGTATGCTTCTCTTGGGGCTTTGCTATGCCTGAGAGTGAAGAGTGTATGCAGCTCATGCCCAGCTGCCTTCAAACTCATCTTTAAGATGTAGTCATAGTGACATTTGAGGAGGAGTAGGAGATTCCTTATGTCTCTAGTTATTTACACCCAAATTGGTTTTCATACACTTTGTTTTATTTTTGTTGAGAGGTGGTTTTTAGATTTAACACTCAAGTTAGTATGCAGGTATGGTCATGTAGACACCTCACTTTACAAAGACATGGGATGTGAAGATGTGGAGTGGAGCAGCTTGTTCAGGGTCAGGCAGGGTGGAGGTACAGGAGGGTAAAGCAGGAATAAACAGCTTGGGGAGGCACTTGTCAGCTGGTCAAGGCAGTAGAGGGAAAACCTTGGGGAGAAGACTGGGGTGCCACAGACTCTAAGGGCTGTGTGGGAGGTTGTAGAAAAGCATGGTGTCAGGGAGATTGAATCAGCAAACCCACAAGAAATCTGAAGTCTGCATTAGGACTGTTCTTTTCTGGTTTTGTTTTTCAAGACAGGGTTTCTCTGTGTACCAGTCCTGGCTGTCCTGGAACTCACTCTGTAGAACAGGCTGGCCTCGAACTCACTGTTCTTTGTTTGAAAAAGATGGAGCCCATTGGGATTCTTTCCTCCTTCAATACATCCTGTTCTTAATAAGGGGAAATTCCCACAGCACCAGGATATTTCAGCCCTTGTGGGGAGCCAGCATTTCTTGGACTGTATAGAGCAGGATAACCCCTCAGTCTATGGGCTTTGCTTTCTCAGCACCTCACCTCTTGGTTGGAATGGAAACAGCTCATGGGAATGTTTCCTGTCCACTGAAGCCCTAGCTGCACTTTGCTTTGTCAGAACAGTGTTGAAACGCAAGATGCCTCTTCTACTCTGTAGTGACACAGGAAGTTGCTGTGTTATCTACTGAGGAGAAATGGACATTTTCAAGGCACTGAGCATGTAGATGTTGCTGGAAATTTCAATCATCTTATTGGTTTTTAATCTATACACTTCTCTTTAATTAATATATTTGTTATATATTATGAAATACTCATGTATAATATATATAGTTAGATATATATTATATTTTATATATATAATATAATATATATAATATATTACATATAGTAAGACAATATATATGATATGGAGATATTCATGTTTTAGAGAAACCACAGGTCACTGAGTAAAGTGATCCGTGTCAGAAGGCCACATTCTCCAGTTACCAAGTCTGCATGCTAAGAACAGCTCAGTTCATTCAAAAGTTCAGTTTTTGAAAACAACACTTCAGGTTGGAAAAGTCAACTGCACGATGTTGTCATTTTCCATGAAATCCTCCCGTGGGGCTCTGCCTCTGGCTGCACAGGGGTAGTGCTTTAATGGTGTGTCCCCACTTGACAGGACTGAGATGTTAAACAAACAGACTTTACAAAACTCCCACTTTAACCACTAGACATTTCAGCTGTTCATGAGTAAATAGCACCAGCTGATTCTGAAGGGGAACAGATTGCTGTATGGACATGGTCTTCACTTCCTTTCAGGAGAATGATTACCATTTGAAGAACATTGTTTATTATCCTGAGTCATTTTGTAGATGGGGCTTTTCTAAGTATGAAATCATTTGAATAATGGTTTCAAAATGTTCCTGTTCCTTCAAATTCTCTTAGCTTACTAGTCTATCATTTGGATGGTTCAGAATGGAATGTAGCTGTTAACCATGGCCACAGCTCCACTAGAGTGGTGAAATTCTTCATGGCATGGAACAGTCCAGAATGTGGGTAGATCCGCAGCAGAAAATGCTTTTTGAATGTTTTTGTTCATCCATAAAACTACAGTGAATATGTTAGATACGGGTGAATCCACAAAGAGAACGTGTCAAACTCAGTCCTTCTCTTATTAAGTTATGGGAGATTTGGAGGCACTTTCTTTATTAAATTTAAGACTGGCTTTGGAAACACATTGTAAAAAAGCCTATAAAGGACACTGGACGTAAGTTTTGAATGAGAGTGTTTTTGCCTCATGCTGTCAAAGATGATCTTTTTATATGCATGGAAAACAGAAACACACACAGTAAAACATCAAAAACCTCTGACATAAAAGCTGCCCAGGAGCTTAGGATCTGTAATCCAGTCAGTCTGCTTTTGATCTCCACCTGACACCATTTGCTTCCTAGTATTGCTTGAGAGAGTTCTTTGAATATTTTAATGAATCAATTTCTGGATAGTAACAAATAAGAAAAAGCAAATTCCTTACAGGATCTGTGTTTAAACCAAAACAGGTTTATAAAACCAAGAACTCCAGCCATACTTACTACCTTGGGGTTCTAGTCAGTGGTTATAACAGGGCATCAGACTTACTTTCTGTAGGAGAACAGGGACTCTTCTCTCCAGTTGTAGACGGCCACATCATCAAATACTTCCCTTAGAAAATGAAGGATATGGTCAACTAGCATTTTCCTACATCCTCTATCAAGGATCACTCTAACTGTGAAAACAGGTATTATCCAATTTAATCTTTGAAACAGCACTGTTTGGCAGGTAGTCACGTGATTCCAATTATGCCTACAAGGATGGCTAGGCAGAGAGAGGACAGTGTGTGGCCCAGTGCAACACAGAAGTGCTAGAGCAGGGTTCAGCCTATGACAAGGAGCTCCGAGGATGACACCCCAACCTGCACAGTGTACACTTGGCACTTCGGTCACAAGGCACACAGCTTAGAATTTACAACTTCAATTGCTTTTTAGTTTCCAAGGATAGCAGTGTATTTATGAGACACTCACTGCTGTGAAGCCACTGCCTCCACTAACAAATTGGCACGGTCTTTAACTTTGCACAGTCTCCTTACACTCAAGCTTTGCTAGGATACCCTCCTCTCAGGCCTCTGCATCGACCTTAGGCAGCCAGCCACCTGACCCTTCTCTCCGGCCCCTCTTCACCTTTTATCCCTCATGGCTCATGACACCCTGTCTGCTCTTGAGCAGCCGATGCTTAGTCTTGGCCCTGCTCTTTCTCATGTACTCTGATTTAAATTCTCTCATTTGGGGACTCTCACCTCCTACCTCGATCTTCTTAGATGTCATGTCATTCTCAATCTCTGATTGCCAGATTGCCATTTCTGTGAAGTTGTCCTTGGTCACCACATCACTTCATCCAGCTATTGGGTAAAGGAGCAGCAATCTCTTTGGCTACCATTCTACTCACTGTCTTCTCAGCACTTCCCCACTGTAGGCCATCTCCTTGTGTCTACAGTGTACCCTTGTCTGTATCCCCAGCTCCCTCTCTCTCTATCTGTCTGTCCATCAACACGTGCTTCCAGGTGAAACAGAATCAGATTTCAGGGCTATGGAATTCAAGCCAATCTGTGCTACATTTGAAATTCTCCAACATATATCCTAACGTTTTTATCAAGACGGTTTGATCCGAGCTCTTTATTTGCCTTGCTTACTCTCTCTCTGTGAATATTTGCTTACACTCAAGACATTTCCCGCACTCTATGATACTCAACACCATTGTCCTCTTTGCATTATATCTTCCTGAAAGCAACCCAAAAGGGCCCCTCTCTCTTCTTTGCCTTTCTATTCTCCAAAGCCCCTCCATTTAGCACTTGGCCTTTAATTGCCATTACAGCACAGCACTGGGGGGACATGAACTGAGTCTGGCTGATGGAGCTTAGGAACCAAAACTGACGCATTCAGTGGAATTGTTGTATGTCAGCCAAATCTCCACCCAGTGTCTTCCTCTCTAAGAATGGGAGGAACTGGCAATTCCTCACTACCTTCCCAGCCCCAGGACACAGCACTGTACTTCAGTTCCTTGACTATTTCAGATGGCTCATGTAACTGATATCATGTGACCTCCATCCTCTGTGAGTGATATCTTCAAGCTCTTTTGAGTGAAAGGATTTTCTTTTCTGAACTAATAACCTTGCACGTATAGACCACATCTCTTTTCATGTCATCTCCCAACCTTGACTGTGGAAAACAGTGTTGTGATGAAAAGGAAACTGTCAACCTCTTTCTGAAATACTAATTTCGGTTCCTTTGCATAAATACTAGGAGTAGAATTGATGAATCCATTTTCAGGCTCTCTCAGTGTGTGTGTGTGTGTGTGTGTGTGTGTGTGTAGACCCTTCCTATTGTTTCTATTGCATTCCTTCTGACAGACAGTGAGCTTCTTATTTCCCCAATTTCTTGACATTGCTTGTCTCTTGTGATGCTCCAATGTAACTGCCCTGTTAGGTCTGAGGTGGCACATCTGTGGAGTTTTGTTTGAATCTCCACGGCAGTTAGTGACATTGCACACTTTTTACACACCTGCTGCTGTCCCCACTTCTTTGGCGAGATGGCTACATGAATCCTTAGTCATTTGTTTTATTAAAACAAATATTTTGCAGTCTGTGGGTATTTCAGGAATGAACCTTCTGTCACGTGTACAGTTTGCTAACATCTGTTCGTCTCACAACCATCCATTCCTTCACAGGGTAGAAATCCTTCACTTTGATGCCACCTCCCTTACCTCTCTGTGGTTTTGTCACCTGCATTTTCAGTGTTGTGGCAGCGACAGAATCACCAGGACCAATGCCACCAAGAAGAGAGACCTCTGCATCTGGTCTCGGAGACTTAGAGTCTCAGGTCTCATGTTGAGGAGTTCACCTGATATGTGCTGACTTTTGAGCCCTGCTCTTTTCTTTGCCATGTAAACAATCAGGTTTCCCCACACCATTTGCTGAATTGCTTATTCTTTCTGATTGTTTAGAGGTCAGCTGACCACTCCCATGGATTTATTTCTGAGTTTTCTGCTCTGCTCTGTTATGAATCTGTCTAGGAATACAGTGTTATTGTGTAGCTTTGAAATATAGTATGCAGTCAGGAGGAGTAATATCTCCAGCTTTCTTCTTCAACACTGATTTGTCTCATTCAGGTCCTTTGTGTTTCTATGTGAATTTTAAAGTTGTGTTCTTTTCTATTTAATGTTTATTTTTATTTATGTGTATGTGTAAGTATATATGCACTACATGCATGCAGGAGCCTATGGAAGCCAGAAGAGGGCATCAGCTCTCCTGGAACTACTGAAGTGACAGGCATTTGTGAGCCTCCATGTCGGTTCTGGGAATGGAAGCTAGGTCCTCTGCAAGAGCAGTTAGCTCTCTTAACTGCTGAGCTATCTCTCCAATCCTCTGTGTTATTTTCTATTTCTATAAAAAGTGCCATGAGGGTTCTGAAAGAGCCTATATAGACTTTGTAGATTGCTATGGTATGTGTGGACCTGGTAGCCATATTAGGTCATCCAGTGCACAATATCAGATGAATTTTTGGTCTTTTATTTCATTGATGATTTTTAATTTTTAGGGCACAAATCCTCCCCTCCTTAGTTAAATTTCTCTTCCCCACCTTTTGAAATTGTACACTGCTACATGCAGTCGAAGCCCCAAGGTCTTCTTTTGTCAAATTCATGCCCACTGTAAACATCAAGAAGCGATGCTCTTGACTCCAGCAGTTCACATGCCTGGTCTTTTTCCTCAGGGTGCAAATGCTCTGGTCACATATGCCCTCATTAGTGGAGCTGATGACAGCTTCCGAATTGACCCCCGAATCTGGAGATCTCATAGCCACCAAGAGGCTGGACAGAGAGCACAGGTCCAAGTATTCATTGCTGGTTCGAGCAGATGACGGCCTTCAGTCCTCTGACATGAGGATAAACATCACCATCAGCGATGTGAATGACCACACCCCCAAGTTCTCCAGGCCTGTGTATTCTTTTGACATCCCAGAAGATACAACCCCTGATAAGTGACATGCCCTGGGAAGCGTTTTGGAGGAACCACTCTTCTGGTTGTTTTAAGCAATAAATAGTGTTTAACACATGTTTACTTCCAGCTGTGACAGTATATACTTCACATTTTGTGATCTTCTGCATAACATCTTGTGTGTAATTTCCAAGAAAATGATTAATAAGTTAGAGCAGATGAGGTGAGGTAAGTTCGTAATTAATAACTACAGACATTTTTGTTTCTGAATGTACCTGTGCCTCAGGTCATCAGCTTTCACAACAGTCAGCTCCATTCTCTTTTTATACTTTAAAAATGGATAAACCTCAAATGAGTGTGTTAAAGACTGTAGTTAGGGGTTCTAGGCCTCATTAGCTGTGTGACCAGGCTGCTTAACTCATTTCTCAAGCATCATTTTCTTCTGTAATATGGAGACAATAATTATTAGAATCCACAAAGTGTTAATTTAGAAGATAAATGTGAAGCTGGGTGTGGTATCCTACACCTGTAATCCTAACACTCAGGAGGTGAGGCAGGGAGACAGCTAGGAAGTAGAGGCCAGCCTCGACTACATTGTGTTGCTGTCTTCAAAAATCAAAACTCAGCCAGGCATGGTGGCACATGCCTTTAGTCAGCATTTGGGAGGCAGAGGCAGAGGCAGAGGCAGAGGCAGAGGCAGAGGCAGAGGCAGAGGCAGAGGCAGAGGCAGGAATCAGTCTCTGAGTGTGAGGCTAGCCTGTTCTACAGAGAGAGAGAGAGAGAGAGAGAGAGAGAGAGAGAGAGACAGAGAGAGAGAGACAGAGAGAGACAGAGACAGAGACAGAGACAGAGACAGAGAATGTTCTAGGACAGCGGGGCCTACACAGAAAATTGGATAGAAGTCACTCCCTGGTAATCCCTTTCCCTGACAGTTCCCCCTTCATTTTCTAAGCTGATATGCCCAGTCCTTAATTTCTTAGCACATTTTATCTATATTAATTACAGTAGTGACCACTGGTATTATAGGCTGCCAACTCTAGGACACACACGATATTGTTTGGAATCCCAGTTCCCCACATTATCTGTGGGCTCCAATGATTATGCATTGACTTATGGATAAGTGTATTGCTTGGTAGCACTGGGTGGAAACAGTGTCAGAAGTAAGATTGCTTCTCTGATAACCCTTGCACTACAGCCTGAGCTTCATGGGGTGCTTGCCATGGTCCTTGGATTGTGGTTTAAGGGGATGGGTGTGTCAGTCTAGAAGTCAGCAGAATACCAAGCTCCTTGTTTTACAGAAGCCATCTATTTAAAATCCTTGACTATAAAAATACTTTCTTGGTCAGTCTATACTTTTAGACTTACCTCAGTACCCCTTGTTCCACTAACTCTAGACCTGGTTTGTCATTCCCACAGGTTCTCTGGTAGCAGCTCTTTTAGCCACAGATGACGACTCAGGTGTGAATGGAGAAATCACATATGTTGTGGATGAAGACGATGGGGATGGTGTGTTTTTCCTGAACCCAGTTACCAGTGTCTTCAACTTGACTCGAGCCCTGGATTATGAAACGCAGCAATATTACATACTTACGGTCCATGCTGAGGATGGTGGGGGACAGTTCAGCACCATCCGAGCCTACTTCAACATCCTTGATGTCAATGACAATCCACCTGTCTTCAGCATGAGCTCCTATAGCACATCCTTAATGGAAAATCTGCCTCTCGGATCCACTGTCCTTGTGTTTAACGTCACTGACACAGATGATGGTATGTCATTTCTGTGGTGTCCCTAAAACTTCCACTAAAGTAGAGTGTATATTTTAATGACTCCAATGTTATTATCTTATTAACTGTTTTATTTATTCATATTTATTTATGAATGATATTCTATAACTATGTATCTAAAGGTGGGAATTTGAGTTTTGATTTAACTGTAGAGGATTTAAAAAATCAAGGAATTTATAGCGTAATTTTTCATACCAATCATACTATTGATTATAAGTTAATATCCTTAACAAATTTTATCTTTAGTTTTGCTTTAAGTGTTTTAGAAGCATTTTAGTTCAGTAATCTGGTGGTCAAAGATTTATTCTGAGTTTGTGTTAGATAAAAAAATCTGTGTGTGTGTATTGCTCAAACTTTTAAATTTGATTTTTATATTTATTGATTTGCTTTGTGTGTGTCTGGGTATATGGATGCATGTGCCATGGTGTGTGTGTGTATGTCAGAGGGCAACTTGTAGAAGTAGTTTTCTCCTTCTACTATGTGGGTCCTGAGTGTGGACTCAGGTCATCAGTTTTCATAGGAAGCAGCTTACTCTGCTCGGCCATTTGACAGGCCTGTATGTTACTTAGACTTTGAAAGAGTAAAAATACAAAGTAAAAAGAGAAAAACGTCTTAAAGAAAATATTTTATAGTGAATAACTAAATTATGTATTATTAAATTAAAAGTCTAATAATATTTTGGCAAGCATTTGTGTTTTCATTGACTGGAAAGGATTGTTAAATTTATAGTATATAATAAAGTTAAGGATTTTAAAAGAGATTATTTTATTTTAATTTCTGTGTGTGTGTGTGTGTTTGTGTGTGTGTGTGTGTGTCTGCATATGGATGTTGCACATGTGTGCAAGTGTCTCTGGAGGTCGGAGGCGTTGGGTCCCACAGACAATTGTGAGCTGCTGCCTGAGATGGGTGCTAGGATCCAGATTCAAGTCCTTTGCAAAGCTTAAATCACTTTCATTGATTCTAACCATTCCAGAACATGAATATGGAGCATTTGCCATGACCTGCACACATTCTTGAGTTAATTTTTCTTGTGGATATGTCCACGTATGCATGTGTTTATATGGTTACATGTCTGTATGTGTTCACAAGCATGGAGGACAGAGCTTAGCCTCTGGTGTCATTATGCAGACATGTGCACCTTGTTTTGTGAAACAGAATCTCTCACTGGCTGGAAACTTGGCTTGTCTGTCTGGCCATGGATTCTGGGATTTCAAACGTCTCTGGGTCCCCAGCATGTGAATGACAAGTGTGTACCACCAGGCCTGGCATTTTTATGTTAGTTCTGGGGATCAAACACCATCTGCATGCTTGCAGGGCAAGTGGTTTACTGCTGGAGTCATAATCGCAGTTCTGGGGTCAGCTTTCTATGCTGAACATTTTTCTGCCTGGTGCCTACGTGGGCTGGGGTCTGTTGAAGCCCCAGCTATCCTCTGGAACAAATTTCATTTACCCTCAAAATTAAATGTAAAGGAATGCGAACAAGATTAAAAGGCACCGGTGTATGAATTTTTTCAAAAAGTTTCTGGAACGATTCCTGCATGTGCAGTCACAAATCTTTTCCTTTCTTTCTTTTTAAGGGTGTTTCTCCATTTAATTGTGCTGGTTAAAACTATAAAAGTTTCAAACCGCTTTTAGCCATTGTTCAGCCTGAATACTTTTATCAGAGTCATTTCCTGAACCTTGACTTAAAATAGAGGACACAGTTCCCATCCCTTCTGGATTTGGAGGATAAAGATAAGAATGACTTTGTTTGTAAGCACACCAGCACAGTTACAGTGAACACTTCCCGTGTGTCTACAAATGGGACACTCAGTTTAACAGGTTCAACTTGTCTTCCGTTCAGAAAGTTCCCAGTCTGGGACATTGCTGTCTTCTACAGAGATGAATGCTCTAGGAGAGGGACTTTGACCTTTTGTGTTGTCTGTGTATGTATTCAGAGTTCAAACTTTAACACTTTGGGTTACAGAATCTTATCAATAAGGCAAATCTTACATTGATGTCAATACACAAGTCACAGCTTTATTAATCCCAATGTGTCTATGAATATAGTTAGCAAGTATTATGTGGAACAAAAGTTATAGCTTAAACATCATGACAATATGCAGGTTACTGCTGTTGTATCCTTCTGGAAACCATGCCCACTTGAGGCATCGTGGCCGTTACAGGATATTTGAACAGTGACACACTGTCACTTTTTCTGAATGACTTCGTCCATTTATCTTTGGTGCACAGCTGAACTAATGCCCATCCCATAGTCCAGGTCCCTGATGACCTTGCTAAAAGTGCTCCCTGAAGATGAGTGGTAGCCCTGTCAATACTGTACATCTTTGTCAGGCCACAGGCAAGCAAATATTAGCCCTTCACATACATAGGACAAAATCTATAAATTGTGGCTAAATGTGCACATTCGTAATCCAGCTAATTTTATCATTTCAGAATGTGTTGCATTACTTATATGTATTTATATAATGTTCTATACTTCTTGGGAATAAACCATATAGCAAATGTCAATATCATATGTTCACAATCAAACATGCACACACACTTATCCATATCTATGCACATCTCCCCAAACACAGACACATGTACACACCTTTAGCAGCTGCAAAACACTCACACCAACCAATCCCAAGAACATTCATGGAACCACATGACTTCCAGCAAGTTGAACTTGAATGGTTGGAAAAACAGCCCTTTATTCAGTGTAGTTATCTGCTGGATTGTAAAAGCCCCTAAATAAAAATGTTAACGTATTACTCAAAATTAAGTATGTATTTATCATCTTACTGTTCAGACACTTGTTGCAAAGAGCAGGGGAATGATGAGATCTTTGATGTTTTCCAGACAGGGCCAGTGTTGGGAGGTTCTGAGTCCCTTTGGGACCATGTGCTTTGCCAAGGTTGTTGTATTTTAAAAACAGTGGGAAGGAGTCACACTATACAACAAAGCCCCCATGAGAGGTTTATTGAGGAGAGGGGAGAGAAGAGCAGAGAAGGGGCCAGAGACTGGTCTCTGGGGATGAGAGTGAAGGAAGAGAAAGAGATGGGAGGTGGGCAAGGCCTGCCTTTTATAAGGGAAAGTAGTGAATGCACACTGGAGTGCTCTTAGTGGCTGCAGCTGAGGAACTATTCTATTAGGACACTAAGGGCAAGCCAGTACAGATGCCTAAATGCTAACAAAGGTTACCTGATGGATTAGACTCTTTGAAGAGAAACATCCCTTCTTAAAGTGCAGCTCTCTATTTTCCACTATCCAGTTCTGATTCCAGTTCTGAGATAAGACCTATTTCTCGCCTCACACTATTTAGTGTAATAACAGTTACTTTTTGTTTCAAAGATCATAGTTATATGTGGTTTATTTTAAATGGCAATCCTTAATTTATTTGTGATTATAAAGTAAATATAAATGTTTTTATTCTTAGTGATAGTTAAAGGTTCACACTTATTAGTTCCATAGCTGATCCTTCCTGTCATCCTTTCCCTTCGTGAAAAGGCCCTTTCTGCTCTCTGTGGGGCCATGAGCCTGTGGCTTGTTCTTTCTTCTCCACAGTTTAACACTTACTTGAATGAACACCCATGATGAACAAGGATTCTCAGATCTTTGCTGTACTACCAGTCCCACTGAGTTGTGCGGCTCCCATGGGTCACCCCTGAAGTTGTGTAGAATGTTATTATTGTTCCTAGTTTCCATTGATCTTGACTGTGAACCATTTTGTATGTCTGCATAGAACTAAGTTTTTCATGGAGGTTCTTTGGTATTGCTTTGACTTCTGTGTTTTGGTGACTGTGGATCTCAAGAAGAACAAGGATTCCACATTTGCTTCTGACCTTTGTGTTAGGAGACTTAGAAAATGTACTTATAAAACTACACTTTATGTAAAAAGCACCCCTGACATATTCAATCACACTTTATAGCAGAGTAGGTGGAACCTTTCTCAACCTGGGCAGATGTAAGACATGGTGAAGCTTTCAGCTGACCTTGTCTGCTCTGGATTTCCCATCCTTTCTTCCCTGCAGGTGGATAGATATGTGGCCTCTGAACTGTTTGTATTTTTTCCTGGTGTTCAGGCTCCTAAGCTTATAACCTCTGCTCCATTCATCTGGGAAGAGTCTGCTGTAAACTGCACAGATGAATGACCACATGGCATAGTCTGTGTCTCCAGAGATCTGTTCATCAAAGCTCACACAAGAAATTCTAGATCAGTCCCTCTGTGCCCAGATTTGCCTTCTAAATGTATTTCCTTATTTTTGGCATGTGAGGAAAGATGCTAGAGAGAGATCTTCAGGTCATAGAGACAGAGTAACAGGACCACATTGGAGGAGGAAATTCCATGACTTGGGTAATGTGCCTGAAAGGGAACACGAGATTGAAAAGAAGTGAAAAGCAAATGTACTCAAGTGTTGGCAGATCACTGAGGAATAGCTTTCACAACAAGTTAGTAAACTATTCTGGGAGGCTCTTGGCAAAGAGCAAACATTGTTCCTGGTAGGTAGGACTCAGAACGTTAAAACAGTTGAATTTCCTTCAGATGAGATGGGAGAGCCCAGGTGGCATTGTGAGCTAGTTGGGACAATACTCTCTGAGGCAGAAAATCCAGCCTGTCTTGGTTTTTGTTGCTTATGTAGAGTCTACCCTTCAATAACTTATTAAAACATGATGGCAGATATGCTTTCCTCAGTATCTTTGCTATAATTATTTCTGCAACTTTTAAAAGTGAGTATATAGTTTTTAAGTTAAAAGTTTTATATATATATATATATGTGTGTGTGTGTGTGTGTGTGTGTGTGTGTGTGTGTGTGTGTGTGTGTGTGTATGTGTGTGTGTGTGTGTGTAATCTAAGCATGTGCCAGGGACAGCATGAACCTTTCTGCCTGAAGACTTTCATGTATAACTTTATGGCTAACAGTTCCTTTAAGGGATACTTTTTCAAACGTTTGAATGTACATAAACCTTGAGAGGGGCTATTTCCTTAAAGGATGTTGCTTGGCCAGATGCTTAATAGGAATTAAAAAGTATTTATTAGTTCTGACAAGAAATGTAAAAGGAGACTTTAAGCATCCATGACTAATGTCCAACATCAGAACATTTTATTACCCTTCTCTGAAAACTGGTGTCGGCCTCAATAAATTACTGAAGTTATAAATGTTTAGCTAATAATATAGAGAGTGACATTTGTAGTGTTGGGCCCCAAGGAGTTATGTGATAGAAACCAAGAAAAGTTTAGAAAAATATCTGCTCTCTGGAATGTTTTCTTCTTCTTCACTTTGGTAATTTAACATTTCAACATTGCTCTAAGTAACACACCCTGTATAGATCATTTATACACCAGATTGTAAATGCATTTCAGATCAAAAGCTCAATGGAGAAGAGTCATGTGTTCAGCAGTATTTACTAAGGGTATTTAACTATAGGTAAATCATTCACAATCACTTTGAGTGATTCATGTGGAATCACTCAGGAAGTCATTATAGTAGGTAATGCGTCAGAAATGCTCTAGTACGTGTCAGACCATTTGGTGTGGCTTGGACTACAACCATCACCTGTTTAATAAGCTTAACTTTTCCTCTATCACTTCTAGGTGTCAACTCTGAGCTGTCCTACAGCATTGCTTCAGGTGAAAACCTTGGGCAGTTTGCAGTGGATAAGCACGGGGTCCTCAAAACCCTCAAGACTTTGGACCGTGAAAGCCAGTCTTTCTACAACCTGGTCATTCAGGTCCATGACTCCCCCCAGCCTCCTGCCTCCAGGTTCACAAGCACAGCCCAAGTCTCCATCATCTTGTTAGATGTCAATGATAATCCACCCACGTTTCTTTCCCCCAAGTTGACGTATGTTCCAGAAAACACACCTATTGATACTGTTGTCTTCAAGGCTCAAGCGACAGACCCAGACAGTGGCCCCAACAGCTACATTGAGTACACTCTACTGAACCCTTTGGCAAACAAGTTCAGCATTGGGACCATCGATGGTGAGGTGCATCTCAATGGAGAGCTGGACAGAGAGGAAGTTTCCAATTACAGCCTGACAGTGGTGGCCACAGACAAAGGACAACCACCCCTGTCCTCCTCTACAGAGGTTGTGGTTATGGTCCTGGACATCAATGATAACAACCCAGTTTTTGCTCAAGCTGTGTACAGAGTGCAGATTAAGGAGAACACCCTCACTGGCACAGATATAATCCAAGTGTCAGCAACAGACAGTGACGAAGGCACCAATGGGCAGGTTCACTATGGCATCCTGGCTGGAAACACACAGCAGGAGTTCAGGATGGACTCCGTGATGGCACCATCATAGTGGCTAAGTCTTTGGATTGGGAGACAACCCCTGCTTACACTCTAACTGTTCAGGCTTCGGATCGGGGCAGTAGCCCCAGAACGGATGTTTGCACTGTCACCATCACTTTACTTGACATGAATGATTTTGTCCCTGTATTTGAGCTGTCTCCGTATTCCGTGAATGTCCCTGAAAATTTAGGGACCCTGCCCAGAACCATTCTTCAGGTCAGTATGTTTAAACACAACAGGGCTTATCCTGCCCTAAGACATCAAACTAAAAGACTTCTTGAACTATGTTCAAGATCCCTTCCTCCCTCGCACTGCCAGGGGGAGATAGATGCAGATATAGAAAACCTTGAAAATCAATGCTTACGAACATTGTCCCCGAGATTTAGTAATTTCCTCTGTGTATACTCACTTTGTACCCATTTGTTCATTTGAGGAGGATTTTTCAATTTTGTTTTACGATGAGAATAATATTCATACATAAAATGATACCAAAATTTGGAAAAGTTCATTAAAAATATTGTTCTACCTTCCTTCTTTACAAAAAAGAAAAACCATACTGTACATTTATGGGAAGCCTTCCTCGAACCCTATATGTTGGCTTTATGCAAATATGTGTAATAATACGTTACTATTATTTACTACTTTAATTACAAAATCTTTAGATTTAATTTTACTTTATGTGTGTGAGTGTTTAGCCCTCAGGCATGTATTTGCGTGTTACGTGTATGCCACATGTATGCCTAGTGCTCAAGGAGGTCAGAAGAGGGTATCAGATCCCCTAGTACTGGAGTTACTGATGGTTGTGAGCCACCACGTGGTGCTGGGAACTGAACCTGGACCCTTTGCAAGAGCAGCAAAAGCTCTCTCAGCCACTGAGCTGTCTCTCGAGCCCTCAATTTAGAAATTTGAAACTACAGCCTTGTTGCACTGTCTTGCTCCCCACACCCTTCCTGTTGTCTTGTGATGACTCATTTGTCTCACGTTAGGTGGCACATTACAACCATGTGACTATTCACCCCTGTAGGTGGTGGCAAGAGATGATGATCAAGGCCGAATAGCCAGCTCTCCTATGTTCTGCTTGGTGGAAACGAAGACAATGCTTTTGCCCTCATGGCCAGTGGGGAGCTTCGGGTGACCCAGAGTCTGGACCGAGAAGCAAGGGATTACTTCGTCCTGGTTGTCACAGCTGCTGATGCAGGTGCGTCCTGACTAGTTTGCTCAATTGTGAGTCAGATCCTCAGGAGCATGAATGTAATTTGTAACTGGATCACGTTTATTGAAATTTGCTAATGCTTGGAATAGTTCCTAAATACATTGAGTATAGCTAGTGAGATTTCAGTGTAAAATGGCAAGAGATTTCCCATATCACCACTGAGGGGCAGCTTCTGTGCAGAAAAATTTCCTTGCTGTGAAAGCTACCTGAGCACATATGGGTGTGACCTTCTACTCTTACACACTGAGTAAGGAGGAATTTGAAGCATCTAGATAGTTCTAGAAGATTCTGGAGATGAAAAAGGTTCAGATTTCTATATCGCTCTTATAGTTTTCTAAACGTCGCCATTATTAAGTGTATTTGCTGATCCCCAGTGTGTCCATGATAGTCTGCCTTGATAAACTCCCACAGAAATACACCTAATAAAAAACAGTGTTCTCTAGCCTTCAGTTTTTGAAAATAGCAATGACATAAATTGTTTGGCATGTAGCAACAGAATGCCCGAGTTTTACCGATGGTATTGTCTACACTGCCTTGTTTTGCTTGGTAGACGGTTCACACACACAGAACACTTGAAATTAAAATGGAAACAACTAAACTTTCTAAAGAATCTGTATACCTTGATGGATGGAGTTAGAATTGCTTAAGTATTTATTAAGCAAATGTCTGACTAAACACTTGAGTTTTCCAAAGATAATGAATTAATTGTGGGATGATTGTCTTGTATACAATTTTTTTTTTCCTGAGAATGACTGCCTTATATCCAATGTTTTAATTATGTTGATTCATTTAAGAAAAAATATTGGTTGAAATGTTCAAGGCAGGTTTGCTGTGACCCCAGATAACTGAAATGATATATGTATATAGCCACATGTGCATATATTAGCATATGAATGCATGTATATGTTTTTCAGGTGCTATAGATACACAAGTATCATTATGGAATATTGAAAGATTTTGAATGGGCTCTTTTACTGTGAAATTTTTTATATTAATACAGCATGCTGAAATTCTTGTTGAATATGCTCAGTTCCATGCAATCAGCATACTGTTTAAAAGCCCCACTCAAAAGCCAGTGGAGGACTTTGGGATTACAGTTAATGACATATTCCAAGGACAGTGCCACTCATTTTTAATTGAATGCTGCCTTCCCTTTTCTTGCTCCAGCCTTCACTTCCAACCTCTTGGGGGAAAAAAGTATTATCCATTCTATTTTTGGTGTGTATGAATTACCTTGTTACATTGTATCAAAGCTTCAAAACCCCAGGGAGTGAGGAACAAAATTCGGTGTGTCAGCCACATACTTAATCCAAATTAATCTGAGACCTGTTTGTCAAGTCCGTGTTCTGTATCCTTTACAGCCCTCAGACTCTAGGTGTGAGCATCCTCCCGTAAAACTAACAGAAACTGGCTGTGCAAATCAGCCAAGGTCCCTGGAGAAGAGGGACTGAACTCGGTTGAAATTGGTAGGGAGCTTAATTTTTGATCCTTTTATATGCATCCTTATAGAATACCAGTTTCTTGTATGACTCAGTTTATCCAAATAGCTAAAGCTTAACAAAGTTGACAATAACAAAGAGGCCAGATATCTGGTTTTTATTTTGATTTTTATTTTTTATTTTTGGTTTTTCGAGACAGGGTTTCTCTGTGTAGCTTTGTGCCTTTCCTGGAACTCACTTGGTAGTCCAGGCTGGCTTTGAACTCACAGAGATCCACCTGGCTCTGCCTCCCTAGTGCTGGGATTAAAGGCATGCACCACCACTGCCTGGCTCAGATATCTGTTTTTAAGCCAGTTTCTGTTAGCCTGAATAGACTTTATGTAAGGAGAGATATTCCGTATGCTCTTGCCAAACTTCTTAGGCCCTTGTCTTGCTATATCATAACATAGGGATATCTCAATTTTTGATGCTCATGGCTGTGGACCTCAGAGTTTTAACATATTAATCAATGGAGTTCTGATAAGCTATTAATGTAGCTCTGGTAAAGCATTGACTACTATTATATTCACAAGCTCAAATTTTAAACTTCCTTTAGTTGTTTTCTAAGTATAGACTAAAAGGTGCATCTCATCATGCTTATATATGTATATGTATATATATTATACAGAGCCAACAGCCAACAGCCCTCTGGATAGAGGAAAATGTGTTAATGCTTTTAACTCAAATCAGTTTTTGGGTCCCAAAGCTTTTACTATGATTCAAAGGCATGGGTTTACTGCTTTTTACTACAATGTGGATTTCTGTACAGATTAAAAACAGTGGTGATGCTAATACATCCAAAACCTGTATTTCTTTGTGTAAACTTTAAATTTATGTGAGCTCCAGGGAGTCAGGACTTGAAGTCACTTGCCATAGGTCAAATGGACTCCAGATAAGCACTCCTGTCAATCAGCAGCCCAAGATTCCCACCTGCTACTTATTCCTGAGGGGGAAGCCCTAAATATAAGATTTTTCTTTAAGTTTTAAACTTTAACTTCTGTCCCTTGTCTGTATCTGTCCCAGCAGATTTCTACTCAGCTAACAGTTATCATCCATGAATCAGCCACAAACTACAAAACTCCAAACAGCCATGAGCCCTGGACTTTCTGAAAGCTGGTATAAACCAGTTCAGCCAATGGAATTGCTCCCTGTTGTTTAGGTGGGAGCCCAATTGTCATCCACCATATATACCCAAAAAGGTTGGGATGTTGGGGAGATCCAGCTCGGGAGAGGGGCCATTCCACACTCATGTCTCACTCCTCCCATTCCAGACTCTACCCCCTCAGAAGACCAGCCAAGTGTCAGCCCCGGGGCTGCTCAAGACCATGCCTACAGGCTACTTAAGACCTGGTCACTATATCTGCCATGTGCTCTCATGCTCTCTCTCCTGCCTTCCCAAGAGCCACCCAGAAGGTGCTTTGTTCTGCTCAGATTAAACCTGGATTTATTAATTTGGCCTGATCCAACTTATTACATCAGCAGTGGAAGATATTCAGTAACCAGGGATCCAAAACTTACCATCTAACAGACATCATCCATGAATCAGCTGCAGACTACAAAACTCCAAACAGCCATGAGCCCTGGACTTTCTGAAAACTGGTGTAAACCAGTTCAGCCAATGTAATTGCTCCCTGTCTCTTCAACTGGGTCAGCAAACCAGATGCTTCTGATGAATGCCCCCAAACTGCTTGAATCCCCCACCCTTGGCTTTTGGCTAGCATTCCAGCCTTTATGGGCCCTGACAACATTCTAATCTCTGTTGAGAAGCAGTTACAGAAGAGGGTACATTCCTCCCATCCTCAACAAAAGGCTGGAATTTTAGGTCAAAAGGCACTAGGACTCCACTGGAAGGGACCACACCTGGATACATCATTCCCAGGTCAAGCAAGTCACAGGAGGTGATGACCCAGCTGCAGAAAAGCTGGCTTGTCACCAAGGCCTGAGAAGATCCACTGAAGATAAGACTGACATGGGTTGTAGACCACTAATGTCTTGTCTGACTCTGTTCTCCCTGCTCTTTCATGGGATATATGTCTAGATTCCCCCTTTAAGAGCAAATGCAAACTTAACTACAAATGTCTCCCAGCTCCCAGCCACCCCTTCATTAGGTAGACATTCTTTCCTTCACCTCTCAGTTGAAACTGTTTGTTTGCAGATGATGGATTACATCCCTGCTTAGCTATCTGGCATATGCATCAAGGCCCCAAATTTTGTTTCTTGGTATTCCAATCCCCAGTATGTTTGTACATGACCGTCTGGCAGGGAGGGAGCACTTGTACTCACAAATCAGTCCTCTCCTTATACCCCTTCTAGTAAGCTTAGGGTTGGGAACAGTTGGAGCTGTTTGGGGGAACAGGCATAGCAGTAGCTGGTGTCGGATACAAAAACTTAGGACATCAAACAACCCAGGATTATTTGCATTAGAAAAGTCTATTGCAAAATTAGAAGAGCAGGTCGACTCATTGGCTGAGGTAGTCTTACAACATGGGAGGGCACTTGATCTGCTTTATATAAAACAAGGAGGTTACTGCATGGCCTTGGGAAAACTTGCTGCTTCTATGCAACCTGGAATCATCAAGGATAGTTTGGCTGAACTTTGGAAAAGCCTCACAGAAAAGGAAAAGGCCCAAGGCCCTCCAAGGAGGGAATAAATGGCTTCAATTTTCTTTCTTGGCTTCTTCCTGGCTAGTAACTCAGCTGTTGGCCATTGCAGGGTGCTTAGCTGTGCTGCCCCTGTTGATTACATTTGGCCCCCTACATCATTAATACCTTAATCTGGCAGGCCTTGTCCTCCTCCCCGATTCCCTCTGTCTTGCTAAAAACTGCTAGATGACATTCCAAAAGCTAGTCCCCCAAGGTCTAGTCCCTTATTTGGCCTCTTCCTCCTCCTGAGGCTGACTACCAATGTCCAGCTATCAAAGTATTGAAATCCAGCAAGCAAAAGCCCCCTTTGGCTCACCTGATTAACATGCCCAGTTAAAATTAAAGACCTCATCCTAACATGAGGTTCCCCCTTTATCTTTATAAACTGCCTCCCTATTTGACAATGATAGCCACTGAGCCTTAGAAGGTGTGACTGTAGATGTCTACCAAGGGCTAAAAATTAGGCCATTGTAATGGTCACTGTTCTCACGAGTCTTGCCAGTGGTTATAAGTTGAGGTCCACAACAGTGGTGATCAGATGTTTAGACGGCCACCCGACAGACACATCACATCCATCTACTAAAATGCTAAGAACTGCTTCCCCATTGGGACCTATGACCTCTGTAGCCACAAGTTTTTATTCTCTCAAGTAAGACAGCTTTAAATCCAGTTAGATGGTTGTGGTCTTACCATGACAGCTAAACCACTATTGCACAAGTAGACACCTCCTGTCTGGTATGTCAGTATTTTAGCATGTAGGATTCATACCCAAGCAGAAATGTTAGTGACAGTTCTCCACCATCCGTTTATGTGGTTCCTTCTGGCACAATGAAAGCTAGCTGTCCAGGGTGGCAGTTTCCAGTTCAATCCAAGCTTAGTTTCTCCATCTCCCACAGTGGAAGCACACACACATGGTGTCTTCAGCAAGAGAGTCTTACCACATCAGCAGTTGGTAAATTCTTGAACCTGGGGTTTGGGATTGCTTCAAAGTTGTCACCAGCTATCTGCAAAGCTTTCAGTTGAGGGAGCTTTAAAAGGTCAAATGAAG